GCGGATCACGAGCTGATCTACTCCACGCCGGCGGCCAGGTGAATTCCTGGGGAGAACATCTACCCGTGACCGACCCCGCGCCCGTCGGACAACCATACGCGGTAAGCCCGGAGGTGCTTTATTCTAATATCGGTGGTAAAAGCCTACCTGTTAGACGGGACTGTGTATACCCACTGGGCTGGGCGAAAAAGAGGAATTTGGGGAAGCCTAGGCGCTAGCCGATAAGTCGCAAGCGGAAGCTGCACTGAGCTAGCACTTGTCGAAAGGGGGAAATCGGCAAGATTGGTTGTGGAAAAGGCTGCTAGCCGTAAGCGCAGCGAAGCTGCGCCGAGCTAGCATTTGCCATAAACAGGGAAATTCGGCAGGAATTGGTTGTGGTACCATATCGTTAGAAGCGGCGAAAGTGGCGCCGGGTGGAATTCGGCAGGAGTTAATTGTGGTAGCTAGTTCATTAGACGCGGCGAAAAGCGGCGCTGAGCCAGCATTTTGCCGTAAGCAGCGGGGTTCGGCGAAAATCGGTTGTGGTCGCGTATAGCGCTGGTCGTAGGCGCAGCAGAAACCGCGCGGAGCCGGCATTCGCTGTAAAACAGCAGAGCTCAGCAAGTTAGCCGTGAAAATGCCGCAAAGGCTGTGGCAAGTTGGCGTTTTCCGGCCGGCGGGTTGTAAAATCCGGTCTCGTAACTGCTTGTGGTATTTGTAGTTCACGTACGTGTCTCGTGTTGCTGTGGGTATGATGCCGTTTAAAGCCTCTAAAGCGTTATCGTGTTCTGAAATTCCTGACGATTCTCCGCTCGGTTGTATAATAAAGCACTGGAAAGAAGAAAATTTTGGGCAAGGACTGAGTAAGAAACAGTTAATCAATTACTGTAATATTGTGTGGCCCCAGTATGATACTGTGGGGGTGCGATGGCCGAGAAACGGCACGATAACATCAAAAATAATGACTCCTTTAATGCAATATCTGAGAGACAATAATAGGTTGGAGGAAATACCATATCTGGACTTGTTTTACTATTTAAAACGTAAGCCTGGGTGGCTGGAGGAATCTGGGATGCTGGCATTAAAAGGTATCACAAAATGAATGTGTGAAATGTAAAGAGCGAAAAATGCGGTCTCTAGAACCCGAGGAGGACGTAACCTTGCTGGTATCCCCAAGTCTTACCCCCTACTGCGCCGCTCGCATGTGTACAGACCCCCCACCCCCACCCCCGGTGCTGGCAGCTCCTCCCACCCCCACCCCCTGTGCTTGCAGCCCACCCGCACTCCGATGCGTACAGACCCCCACCCCACCTCCCGGTGCTGGCAGCTCCTCCACCCCCACCTCCGATGCGTACAGACCCCCACCCCCACCCCGGTGCTGGCAGCTCCTCCACACCCCTGTGCCCCCAGCTTGCACTCCACCCGTACCTCCGATGCGTACAGACCCCCACCCCGGTGCTGGCAGCTCCTCCACCCCCACCCCCTGTGCTTGCAGCTTCTCCACCCGTACCTCCGATGCGTGCAGCCTCTCTACCTGTACCCCCGACACGCGTACTTTCCCCACCCATGCCTCCATTAGAATCATCTACGGACGAAGAAGAAAAAGAGCGCCTTGATAAAACACCGTTAGCGAGAAGAACTCGGAGGGGGGGAAGGGAGCTGGGGAAACACCGGGAACAAAGGAGGGCTGTGTCACCCTCCCCTCCGAGGTTAATGGCTCCTTTGCGCGAAGCGGTTGGGGCAGGGAGGAACGCGGGTAATGGTAAAAGTTCCTTTTTTTCACCTAATGATTTGTTAATTGGAAACAATCAGCGGGAGCATACAGGGAAAACCCTGAGCGCGTGGCACGTGTTGTTAAAATGGTTATAAAAAACTCAGAATCCAGATTGGAATGATTTACAGGTTTTGTTGGATACAATTCTGGATTCTACCGAAAAGGAAATGGTATTACGAGTGATGGTTGAAAAAGCCAGGGAACGGGTACGTGCTCAGCCAGGACAGGGGACAGTGAATGATTGGGTGCCACGGGAGGACCCAGAATGGAATCCGAACGCGGCAGACGATTATCATAGGTTGAGATCTTATCAAGTCAAACAGAGGAAAAGGCATTCTTGTGTCCACTGGATATTAAATTTAGAGGAAAGCAATTAGATCATCAATTTCTTTACATGCCTAATAGCCCGGAATGTTTATTAGGGAGGGGTTTGTTGTCTTCCCTAAAAGCCACAATTGTGTTTGAAAAGGGTAGGGTCAAATTAGAGATTCCAGAACAAAATGTGGCACAGATATTTGCTGTAGAAACAGAAGCAATTCCTCATGAAATAGAACAAGCAGTGGTCCTTTGGGTATGGGAGACTGGGCCCCCGGATTGTCCAAAGCCGCAACCCCAGTAGTAATAGAACTCAAGGAAGGAGCACAGCCAGTACAGGTAAAACAGTACCCAATCAGTTTAGAAGCAAGAAGGGGGGGTAGCACCTTTAATCAAACAGTTTCTAGTTCTTGGAATATTACAAGAATGTGAATCAGAATTTAATACACCTATCTTTCCAGTAAAAAAAAAAAACAAAAAAAAACAAACAAAAAAAAACAAAAAAAAACAAACAAAAAAAAAACCTAACGGAAAATACAGATTGGTACAAGATCTACGGGCGGTCAATTTGTTAACTAAAGACATTTACCCTCTCATAGCAAATCCCTATACCCTGTTAACATCTGTTTCTGAGAAATTCCAGTGGTTTTCAGTAATAGATCTGAAAGATGCCTTCTTCTGCATCCGATTGGCACCGGAAAGCTGGCACCTTTTTGCATCTGAGTGGCAAGATCCCGACTCTGGAAGGAAAAGACAACTCACCTGGACGCGGCTACCCCAAGGATTCAAATCCTCGCCTACAATATTTGGTAATCAATTGGCAAAGGAACTCGAATATTGGAAGACAACTCAGGTAAAGGACTCTCCTTTCTCTTACATAATACTGCAGTATGTTGATGACATTCTTCTGGGCACTGAACAACAAGAATTATGTTGCAATACCAGGCCCTGCTCAGAGAACAGGATAACATTGAATTAAAAGTCACTAACCATCTCAATCCAGCTGAGTTTCTCAGGTCCACACAGGAAGAGGGAGTCCTGGAACATGACTGCATGGAGACTATCGAGCAGGTCTATGCAAGTCGGAAGGACTTGAAAGATGAACCGCTGGAAAATCCAGATTGGGAACTGTTCACAGACGGATCAAGTTTTGTGGAAAACAGAACCAGGTATGCTGGGTACGCGGTGGTTACTTCACAGGGGATTGTAGAAGCAAAACCACTGTCCCCAGGAACATCCGCACAGAAAGCTGAAATTTGGGCACTGGTGAGAGCCCTGAATCTGAGTCAAGGGAAAAGGGTGAACATATGGACTGACTCTAAATATGCCTTTGGAGTAGTCCATGTACATGGGGCACTGTGGAAGGAAAGAGGGCTACTTACTTCCCAAGGCTCAGCCATAAAGCACCGAGACGAAATACTACAACTCCTGGAAGTCATACATCAACCAGCAGCCGTAGCGATAATGCATGTGAAAGGACATCGGCCTGATTCAGGACCCGAGTCTCAAGGGAACAGACTGGCAGATCAGGCAGCTCGGCGGGTAGCTACAGGAACTTGGACTCAAATGGCTTTGTTACCAACTCGTGATAATCCAGCAACAGTGCACATGGAAGAAAAACCCCATTATACACCAGAGGATGAGAAACTGGCCCAAATGATGGAAGCAAAGAAAAATGTGAAAGGATGGTATATTGCCCCTACTGGACAGGTAATACTGCCAATCAGAATAATGAAGACAGTACTTGAAGTTGAACATGGTAAGTGCCATTGGGGTGCAGAGGCTTTGGTAAAATTTCTAAAACATAAGATTTTCTCAAATCAGATGTTAACACTAGCAAAAAGGGTGAATGCAACCTGCCCGGCCTGCATTAAGAATAACCCTATAGTTAGGAAACAGGTACAAATGGGGAAACTTCAAATTGGGCAACTTCCAGGGGATTATTGGCAAGTAGATTTCTCAGAATTACCAAAAGCTCAAACATACAAGTACTTACTAGTGTACGTGTGTACTTTCTCAGGATGGCCAGAAGCTTTCCCATGTAGAACTAATCAGGCAAAAGAAGTAGTGAAAACCCTCCTAAAAGAAATCATTCCGAGGTTTGGAGTACCGTTAGGATTGTCCTCAGATAGAGGGCCACATTTCATTGCAGGAGTTGTACAGGACTTAGCCACAACATTAGGGATAATATGGAATCTCCACACTCCATGGAGACCACAATCTAGTGGACAGGTAGAGAAAATGAATCAGACTTTGAAAAATCAATTAAAGAAAATTTGTCAAGAAGCAAAAATCCAGTGGCCCCAAGCATTGCCGCTTGCTCTGTTAAGAATTAGAATTAAACCCAGAGAAAGAATCGGAGTGAGCCCATATGAGATCCTATATGGAAAACCATACCATGCAGCAACCTACCAGGGTGATCCTCATGTACTGGGAGACCAAATTGTATTTAACTATATTTTGTCTCTAAATAAGACCCTTGCAGCACTCCGGGGAGCCTTACAGTGGAATCGGCCCCTGCCTCTGGAAAATCCAGTGCATGACATCTCTCCAGGAGACCAGGTCTACCTGAAGAATTGGTCAGCAGAACCACTGAGAGAATCATGGGACGGGCCTCGCCAGGTGTTGATGACAACCTACACAGCAGTCAAGGTCGAAGGCATCGACAACTGGATTCACTACACGAGGGTCAAGAAAGTTCCCAAGCTGTGGTCTGTAGAACCCATTGCACCGACCAAAATGGTGTTCCGGCCAGTCAAATAAAGACTGTAACACGAGCGATAATATTGTTGTTATTGATAAATACTACTGATGCATTTATTAAAGTCAGTGTTTCTAATTCCTCTTTCTTAGTACCCGAAGGTACAGCTGTCAATCTGACCTGTTCCTTCTCTGACGACCAGGGAGCTGGATTAGAAGAAGTGAGTGCTAGATGGCGGAAGATGGATCAGGACCACGTTATGATGAATGGTGTGACTACGGTATGGAATGTGACACAGCAAAAAGGCTATACCGTCCTGCAGGTACCCAATGTAACCTCTGATGCAAATGGTGTATATTCCTGCATAGTATGGATTCAAATGAGTTTTGATTATGGATATGTCAAAATACAGACACTCAATTTTACACACAATGAAAGCACTACAGTGCAAGTACCACCCCCTCACATGCAGTCTGCCAGATGGAATGGTCCTACCTCTATTTATGTAAAAACTGAGCGAGTGACTCGACAAACTCATGCATCACAAATCCCGCAGGTCCCACATAGAAAAATCACACAAGAAAATTTAGTAGTTGGATTAATTAGAGATTTTGGGAGAGTTCAAAATGTCTCCAAAATTACTGCATGCCTCCCGATGCCTCAATCAGCCGGAGATCCAATTCCATGGGGAGTAATACCAGTACCAGAAGTCCCTAAAATGTTTAGAAATACTACATGGAATTGTAAATTTGTGACAACTACTTCGACTGATCTAACACTTGCCTGTCTACTAACAAAAGTGAAAACTAAGAAACAATGTAAAGAAATGCCTGGTTTTTGGCAATGGTTAAACAACCCAATTGGTGATCAAATCAAAGGCAATTGTGTAGTGTCACCCTCGGCTGTTATCCTCAATACACCGTGTAAAGCGGTTAAAGTTCCTATCCTGCGAGAAAAACGTGAACAAGTGTGTCAAAATATTACTAGTTCCACTACAATGACAGAATGGCAAACAATTTGGGGGCCGAGCCTCTTAGAAGTTTATAGTTACATTGGACAGGTACAATGGTGCATCCACTGGGTAGGTACCACAAATCAGGATTACTCCTTTTTACATCCGAATCACAAACAGTGGCGAGAAATAGTCTCACCCACAGGACTGTGGAATTGCACTCGAATTTACACATGTGACACTCCCAATAATGACATCAGCTTAGTCCCTGTAAGTATACTTTTACAATTAGGCTGTGAGTGTCGTGGATATAATCACTCTATGACAGGTCACAACAATTTACGTAGTCTCGACTGCCTAACTACCACGGTGGCAAGTCCAGGAAATTTAGTCTGGGTAATGGGACATGGACAATGGACCACTCACATGCCCGTAGATGGACCGGCGACACAAATTACCTTGGGTGTTCCTACGCTTTGCCCATACTGGAAATCAGGAAAATTGACCACACTTGACATGCAACCTAGGCAAAAGAGAGATACAGAACAAGACTCTGAAAATTGGCATGACCCGTCAGACGGAGTAAAATTTGGGTGGGCGATGGAGTCTTTGTTCGCACCGATAGCATCATATCGCAATAGAGAAATGCTGTTTAAACTAATGCGACAAACTGAAAGATTAGCTGCAGTTACCAAGAAAGGTTTTCGTGATATGAATGTTCAATTACAAGCAACCACACGCATGACCATACAAAATCGAATGGCATTAGATTTATAATAATGGCCAGTCTTCGCGAGCGAAGATCCAGGGAAGGTCTTTACACCTTCCAGCCTGCGCATTGGATTTTTTAGGTGAGACACAGTGTGCGCGGAACTGAGCCCACCCTTTAATCCTAAGGTTCATCTGCCGGGGCCAAGCAAGCTTGGACAGTGGCAGCGAGGTCCTTAGGACGTAGGTGGGTTGCCTTTAAGGGCTAACGAGCCCCACCTGCCCGGGAGTGGCCCTGACCGGGAATCGAACCCGGGTCTCCGCGGTGATAGCGCGGCGCCTTTACCACTAGACCACCAGGGGCATTAGATTTAATTTTATTGAAACAACATGGGGTTTGCGGTTACCTGCATGCACGGGATGAGCACTGCTGTGTCCACATCCCAAATGTCACACATGAGATTGAAAATGATATTTCTCAATTAGAACAAATTGAAGGAAACATGCATAAATTACAACAAGAAGCAGAACATAATTAGATCGGCGAATTATTCAGCTCCCTCGGTCTTCATATGTCAGGATGGCTGTCTTCCATCATTCAATATGTTTTAATGTGTAGCATAATAATTCTTGTTGCTTTAATAATATATAAGTGTCTCTTAAGAATAATCGCAAAAGAAGGGCAACACACTCGGCAAGTTATGATGGCGCTGACTCGTAAAGAAGTCCTTATTCCGGACGGTGATTCTCCTCCCGAAGAATCATAAGCGACAACAGAAAGATTTGAGCATCCTTGCAATTGAAGATTGAAGAATGCTCAAAAGGGGGGAGTTGTTGCAGTGTGAAGCATAGGCCTGAAAAAGACCCCTGCCAGAAACAAGTCAGGGCTTGTCAGAGCTAAGTTGGGACTGCTTAGACATTAAGGCTGTGCTGACCAAAAAGAAACTATAAGTCAAGTAGAACCGAGACAAGAAAAATTTGCAACTAGAGATAGGATGTAATCTGGTGGTAGGATTTAATTACACGATGTTTACAGTTAGGTAAATGGATTAATATTTGAATATAATCAAAGTGATATGTAAGTTTATGTTTAACTGCTATGTCTCCTGTGAAATGTAAAACCAATCATGTAACCTTGCTTGGAAAAATAGTATAAAAGATGCGTTCAAAATGTGGGTCTTTGGGTACCTGTCTTGGGACAGGAGTCCACAGGGACCCCGGGCCCTGAATAAAGCACCGCATAAACTGACACTCTGTTAGTTTATGTTCTCATTACGGGCAACAATCGCAGACGTCTTATCACCAATCTGGCTCCAATTTCCAGAGGCCATCCTATATCACTACATGGATGACATCCTACTAGCAGCAAAATCCAAAAGACAGCTTGAACAAGTATATTTGTCTGTAAAAGCTGCGCTGTTGACATATCGCCTGGAAGTAGCAGCAGGAAAAGAACAAATGACAGTTCCCTGGAAATACCTTGGATTTCAAATCAATAACACTTCCATTCAACCCCAAACTGTCTCCTTACCAACTAATGTTCGCACTTTAAATGACTTGCAATTTTTTTTAGGATTGATTAACTGGATTAGACCTATCCTAGGGTTAACAACAGATGTCCTGCAGCCACTATTCCAACTCCTGAAAGGAGAAGCAGATCTAACTTCCCCTCGGCATTTAACACCAGAAGCCTTAGCAGTACTAAAAGAAATTAATCAGAGACTGAGTTCTTGTCAAAGCAAAAGAAAATTCTGTGTGTTACCTGTTATTGTAGTAGTCTTTAAGGGTATCAGATAACCTTATGCTGTAATAGGACAACTTGATTTAAAAAGCAAAAACTTTCTGTTATGGGAATGGGTTTTCTTAAGTTTCCAGTTTACCAAATCAATCACCACATACCCTGAAATGCTTTCCAAAGTCTGTCACAAAAGCAGATTGCGGCTTTGGGAGCTCTTAGGGAGAGATCCAGATGTCATTTCTTTTCCTATGTCTGCTGTTCAACTAACCCAATTACAAACTAATAGCTCTGATTTTCAGCTAGCCGTCGCCGATTACAGAGGACAATTTTCAGTTCACCTTCCATCTGTTCCTTTTTTACAGCTACTAACTCTAACACAACCAGTACTGTCATGGTTTTGCTGGTTCTTAGAAACTAAGCAGGAATTTTTCCCTTCCCCCTGCCCACTGTGTGCAGGGCTGTTAAGTGGGCAGTTAAGGAGCACAAAAGAAGCTGCCTTCTAGTTAATTGCCTCAGAATCTCCTGGGAAACTGGGGAGGGGGAGGAGCTTTTTTCTTTTTTTTTTTTTTCTCTTGTCTCCTGGGAAACGAGGGGGGAGGAATTCTACCTGGCTGCTAAAGCTGGAACAAGGTCAGAGTGGAAGCTCGGTGGGGTTTTGTTCTTAACCTGGTTGCCAGATGTGGATTCTGCTTGGATTTTTTCATCAGAGAGGAACTGTTTCGGGAGGTTTTTTTTTTTTCTTTTCCCTTCCCCATTCCCATTTGTTTCTTTCTTAGTAGTGGTTCTTGTGCACATCAAAGGGAGAAGGAAAACTATACCGAACGATTTGGCCAGCAGAAAGAGTGAGTTTTTTCCCATTGGGGAGGACTTTTTTTGTTGTTTCTCTCCCTCCTCTCTCTCCCCTTTCCTAGTGTGTGGGGCGGGAGGGAAACCCATTTTCGGTTTCTTCAACACACCTCGGAGGGTGTTACCCCCACGTGACAATGACCAGTGATTCCACAGCGCCCCCTGCTTACCAACATAAAGAACTGCAGGCTCCACATTTCCAGTGATCCAACAGCACCCCCTGGTGACTGGCACAAGACACTACAAGCTCTGCAGCTCCAATGATCCAACGGTGCCCCCTTTGACTGTGGTTTGAATTGCACCAAAGGGCGCAAACTGAACTGTTTACTTTTTTCTTTGCTTGTTTATTGGTATGTTTTGAAGGGGATTATTTGTGGGTATAGGAATATTGTTTGGTTGTTTTACTTGTTTTTCTGCCAATACACATATATCTTTAAATAAAGAGCTGTTATTTTTCCTTTTTCCACAATTTTTCCCCCTCAATCAGAGCCTCTTAATTTTGAATTTACAATTACTTAGAGGGAGGAATTTGGGTCTTCCTCATAACTCATCCTCAGCAAAACACCTGTGTCTCATTTTAAACTGAGACAAGTACTAACACATAATTATTCACCAATTCCACTAGTGCTAGGACTGTTTTCACAGATGGTTCGGGGAAAACATCCAATACAGTAGTCACCTGGTTTGCAGCAGGAGAGTGGGTATTTGACAAGCACAAGGTAAAAGGTTCCTCTCAAATAGCAGAACTCTCAGCAGTCATAAGAGCTTTTCAACTATTTCCAGAACCCTTAAACATTGTTTCTGATTCGGCCTATGTTGTCGAAGTAGTTCAGCGAATTAAAAATTCATACATAAAAGATATCTTTCAATTACAATTGGCTCATATGTTCAAATTTTTACTTTATGAAATTAGGTATCATAAACATAAATTTCATATTATTCATATTCGTTCTCATACCTCTCTCCCAGGGCCCATTGCAGCAGGGAATCGGATTGCAGACCAAATTGCTAATACAGAACACCTAGCTCAAACTGC